ACTAATCGATGCCTCGGTCGGGCCGGCGTGCCTTCAAACGCCGAGTCAAACAAATGTGCGGACAACAAAATGACACAAAGGCATCCAAAACTCCCCCCTTGCGAGAGATGAAGAAACGCACCCTGCGCCTCTGCGCTGAGAGGCGGGCGTACGAACCAGTCCGCCACCATGTCGCCCTTCAACACAAAGGACAATCATTGAACTAGACCTCGATCGATCGGTATTAAAGGTAGCAAGCAATCAGTTTACACCTGAACGAGTACGACAAGGGAAGTGCGGCTTTCCCATGAGTCGCGTGCACTTTGCTGCTCAGTGGTCGTTGAGTTGTTTGCTTGGGGAGGGTGGGGGGGGGGTTTCTCGAGCCGAGGGGTCAAATTCACCACCCTCCCGATCCACGGGTCGAGTCAACTTTCGAGATGCTGTGTCGACGGCACACCGCTCATGGATCCCGGTGACCCGGACGTTTCCTAACGTCCTTCGCCGTAAGATGAGCCGAGTGGCGTTGGGCCCAGCTAAGCCTCTCGGGGATTTGAATTGAAGGCCAAAACGGGAGGGAGGGACAGCAGCGGCGGAACTCATTCGACAGCGATTGCCTTGACAAAAACAATCCTCGTCGACCCCTCTTCGGGTTCAAAGCTCGAGGCGGCACGGCGCCCCGCTCGTGACGACTTCCCCCGCCCGATGGCTTTCTGGAAAATTGGAGCCGCACAGGACGCTGTCAACAAAGCGCATTTTCATCTTGGTGGAGCGGAGACGAGTCGAGTGCAAACGAGGGCAGCTGATTTGCTCCATGTATGTAGCAGCACCGAGGGCCCGTCCTCCGACTCAAGTTTCTCCCACGGGAGACCAAATCAAAGTCCAATTCAATTCAATTCAATCGTTCCGAGACAAAGTCCCTTTTACTGGACAGATGGACCGTTTGGCTTCTTCAGGGAAAACAAAAACAAAACAAGTCTGTGAGCAGGGCGACTTCCCTCATCGCAAGAATGAGATGATGAGGGGTTTCCTTCAGCCACCCGCCGGCGTGTATTCCATTTGAACGGGCGGAGAGAGAGAAAGAAAAAGAAAAAGCAAAAGAAAAAGGAGCGTGCGCGCCCCTTTTCCAGAGCTGACGACGCCACGCGGTGTCGAGTAGGCTCGCGTCGCCCTCTGCCGGCTGCGTTGCGAAAAGCCCATCGGACAACCGGAGCAAAGTCTCCATTTGGAGTGCAATCGTTCTTGTGTGGTGGCCAAATTCCACGTCCACGAATCCAAACGGAGGCGTTCAAAATCTCTTTTCCCAATTGTTGAAGCGGAAACTAAGCGCTACCCGATGTGGACGACGGAGTCCAAACACGAGAAAAGGCTTCTTTCTTTTCCGCGCGTGCCATGTTGCCGATTCTTCGCGGACGTCATCCGAGAGGCGGCCCAGCTTGCTGCCGAGATGGAAGCCCACCAAAGGCGCCCTCGCTCGCTTTTGGTGGCGGGCGGAAGCGCGTCACGGACCAGATGGAAGCCCACCGACCGCTGACGGGCAACCAAATCAACTCGACGGGCGGCGCGGCGCGCGCAGCGGGTCACTCACTCGAGAAAGGACGACGCGGGTAAGTTCGCAGCTCTTGTGTTGGGGGTGGGGGGGGGGGCCCCGCCGGCGCCGCCTGAGATGCTGACTGTCGCTAGCTTCTCGGGGGGCTTGTTGAGTCAAGCGAGACAAATGGACAGAAAGAGAAGGTCAGTCCCATTTTCAGAAAGGAAAAGAAGAGCGATCTGTTCAAAGGAGCGGGAAGAAGTCGACGACGGGTCGAGTCCGACCCCTCCTGATGGAAGAAGATATCAATTGATCATTTTTTTCATTGATCATCATGTTCAACCAGACAAGAAAAGGAAAAGTCGACTTGTGTGTGCTCCACTCGTCTCTTTTTCCAACCGTGTCCATTTCGAGGTGGATTTTCTCGTGTGTTCGAGGGTCTTGCCTTTCACGGCAGCGATTGATCAAGGCCATTCTTATTGATGACCAGATGTCACAAATGTGTCAAATCGATCATCTTCATTTCGATTGATGTCGGTTTTTTTTTTTTCCCGGACCATTCTCTTGAATTGGTTTTGAACTCGGCAAGCGTCTCCGCAGACGAACGGCGCCTTCAACTCTTTCGCTTGACGTTTGTTCTCGTTTTGGCTTTTTCGTCCGGGTCCGTTCCTTTGAAATCACGGCAACTTTGTCCAAGTTGGAAATGCTTGCGGGCCGCCGCGAGCGGCGCGCCGCCGTCCGCTGCCCGCGTGTGCCGAACATACGATGCAAAATACATCCGGAACAAACCGCTTTCCAAAGTCAAACAACGCGTAACCTAAAAGACGGACAGTCGCGCGAGCTGAGCCGCTTTTCCTTCATCGGCTTTGTTGTTTGAAGCGGTTGGAGATGAAAGCGGAGAGACTCCAAGGGGATCCGTACGCGCACACGCTAAGTTTCAAAGTCGACCGCTTTGGCTCCTCCCGTCCCGCCTCGATCCGTTTCAATCCCAAGCGCCGACTCTCAGTTCCAAAGACGCATCCGCGCCGCACGCCGAAGCTCTTCTCTTCTCATCCTCAACTTCAGCAGCCATCCGTGCCGTCGCAGACGGTCCGACGGCATCTCCATCGGAGCTTTTTGACATCAAGTCGTCTTGTGTCACCGCAGTCATGGCTTCAAACAATCCGAATGCAGTCGAAGAGGAGACAGAGGAGGCAAACATCCGCGTGGTCGTCAGATGCAGGTAATCTCCGTCGTTCTTGTTGTTTTGCTTTCCCCCCCCAATTATCAATCATCAGGTCATCCTCATCGTTACTCATGAGCGTCCATCATTCCGCATTCGGTCGAGTCTCCGGCAAGTTGAAAACAATGTCCGGATCGGGAGGCGGCAACCCGCGGCTCCGGAGCCGCGCGTGGCTCTTTAGCGCCGCCCTCGTGGCTCCCTGCAGCTTTTAAAAAATGTTTGAAGGTAGGCGAGAATAAGCTGGCAAAGAACGGCAAACCGAAGGACCCAAAGAAGCATTTTAAAACGGGACACGTCAGCTACGAAAGTTAACGCGCTGCAAAAGTGCGCCCCGTGCCTCGTTCGTTTCCGGGGCACTTCTGGCTGTCGCTCATTATGGCGGCGTGCGTGTGTAGGTTCCCTTAAACCAGGAAGGCTCATCGTGTATCGGGAGCCAACCTGAGTCATTTGGAGAGGCGATGCGAAGATCGTCTCAAATCGGTGAATGCAGCGTGCGCCAAAGTGGCTCTTTCAACATTTTGGCTTGCTGACCCCTGACCCCTGCTCTCGATCCGTGCGCTCATATTTGAGGTTGAACGATGCAGAGATGGAAGGTCATTGAAAATGTTTGCGTGCGTCTCGTTCCCTGGCAGCCCTCGCGACATCATGAAGCCCAACGCGTCGACGAGATACGCCGTTGTGCACGACACGCAATTGAAGCAAGTTAGCGTGCCGAGAGTACGTAACATGCGGGCGCCCCTTCAGCCATACACGTTCGATGAGGTCAGTTGACTCGCAATCTCCTCCGCGGCATCGTTCTGCTGGATGAACCTTTTTGTTGATGTTGTCGGCATCCCGCAGGTGTTGGCACCCGGCACCACCCAGTTGGACGTCTACAACGGGATTGTGCCCCCCATCCTGGAGGATGTCCTGAATGGATTCAAGTGCACCATCATCGCGTCAGTACTCGCGCACACACACACACACACACACACACACACACACACA